ATACAATAATATCAGTTTTAGTAATATATTTTGAAGTATTTAGTATGAAGTATGTATATTTATTTAGGTGGTCTCATTAGGGGCTTGCAAATGTTAATCGAGTACTATACATTGTCTAGTTGTGTTAATCCAAGTCTAGGGAAACACTTACTTTAATTGTTTCCAAAAATATAAGTAAATACCTACTTATAGTTTTTTAATAGCGCAAACGTCGATATTTTTTAAGTACGTAAGCATAACGAGCGTCAGTAAAAAGTTAAATCTAAAACGTGGCTAGCCTAAATAAAAATAATATAAATACCACATCCAATTAGGGTATATTTATTGACCCATAATACAATTAGAATGCGTGAACTCTTACTCAAAACATAATTTTAAATAAATAATAGTTTTAAAAAATATTATTAAAAATAAATCAAATAATAAACAAAGAGAAATAATAATATAATTAATAGAGAATTCAGCCATAAAAAGTTGAGTGAAAAGAGTGAAAAAAGAAAAGAAATAAGTAAAGGGACAGTAACAACAACACCCTGACCATAATCCATATATCATTATATTCTTGGAGTAAATATCTAGAAACCAATTCTGGGTACTTTAAAGCGTTCATATGCTCAAAACAGTCTAAGCCAAAGTAAAATCAACAAAGTAGAAAAGGAAATTCTCGAAATAATTGTATGATATATATTATTTTAACGATAATAAATATATCCTTAAATTTAGCTCAAAATTGGCTGTTGACTATACAAGCTATGGTCAAGATATTTGAGCATATCAGTATTGAAAATGTCATAATCACATTAAATCAAGCCAACGTATGTTGCGCATATTTGCAATAATCGATCAAATATCCTATTATTAATTTGATAAAGGGATATTTTGGTATTTCACTCTGGGCAATATTCGCCTATTGAAGCTTTTTGCAGCGAATGCAAAGGTAAATAAATAATAATGATAAATATCGCATTATGAAAGTTTTCGTGAAAAAATGTATGCAAAGAGGTTTTCAGTGTTTTATATTAATTAATGCAGTTGGTAAGGGCAAAAAACAAAAAAGCGCCAATCGCAAGGCTTACCGTGCAGGAGCGAAAAAACGCGTTGCAAGCGCTGGCGGCGGCCTTAACGCGTTCGCTCGCACTTGACGAGTCGCGGGAAATCAAAGGGAAACCAGCGAACAAACAACAAACGGCAAAAGTCGCGCCTTTGTAAACAAACATAATCACAGGATCAGCATGTCGTCCCCGAGGAGAGGGGCGGGGCAGGAGAGAGAGCACAGCAAAACAGTGAACCAGCTAAGTCCCTGTGCATTTTAAACGTTTGCCTGATATCACAATTAAAGCGACTTAATTTGAAAACTGAAACGCGCAGAGATGAGCGGGTAATAAGAGGCGAACAGATACTAGGGCAGACACACACCGGCAGGCGGATAGGAAGACGGATGGACGGATGGATTCACCCCGTTGCGGATGATGATGTCCTACCTGTGCAGGAGCAGTCCTAGCAACAGGACTCGCAGCACCAGTTGCGGCACGTGCAGCACAGATTGTAGCAAAAAGTGTGGCAAAGTGCAGCTGTGTGTATTACAAAGGGAGCGGATTGGCAGTGATACCCTATACACGGGCGCACAGAGACACGGGCGGACGGACACACGTACACACATAATTATTATATTCCACTTCAGCGCTACACAATGAATTAATCGAGATTACACTTGGTGAGCATTATCTATAGGGCAGGATCAGCGCCAGAGTAAGAGAGAGAGAGAGCGAGATACGGAGGGGGAAGCGAAGGTAAACTACTACAAACTAGAACTGTTTGTCCATGATACTTGATTTTATTAGCACAAATTACCACCACCAGTGGAACTGACAACAAACACGGCAAGTAATCACAACAAATTGAGGTGGGATGAAAATCGGAAGTGGAATGGGCGAACAGGAGGACAGCATGACAGAAGCGAGGGGAACCCTCACTCGTCAAA